TAAAATTTAATGTGCCTAACTATTTAAGTACATCCAGAATAATACACAAGCACCAAGAAATGACCTCGAAAACCCATAAGTGGCGAGTAATTAGCATTGCAAAAGTAATTAAAATATTCTAAAAATCATTTGAACATTTTCTAAAAGCCATTTGAACAAGTTATAATCAAGATATCAAATTTTGGTTAACAGATCCTTAAGCAGCACATTCAGGAGTACCTATACTGAAATTTTGAACAAAATCCATTTTTTGGCCGAAAATGACAAAAATTGTAAGTCTATAGCCTTAAAGGATTTTTGGCCAAAAATACTTTTTCTCTCTGTTCTAAAATTTAATGTGCCTAACTATTTAAGTACATCCAGAATAATACACAAGCACCAAGAAATGACCTCGAAAACCCATAAGTGGCGAGTAATTAGCATTGCAAAAGTAATTAAAATATTCTAAAAATCATTTGAACATTTTCTAAAAGCCATTTGAACAAGTTATAATCAAGATTTCAAATTTTGGTTAACAGATCCTTAAGCAGCACATTCAGGAGTACCTATACTGAAATTTTGAACAAAATCCATTTTTTGGCCGAAAATGACAAAAATTGTAACAAAGATGTCGGCAGCTTCCATTACTGAACTTTAGTACGCAGACGACCTCACTCTTGTCGCTGACAATGAACGCGACCTGCAGGAGATCCTGAACACCAACGTAGATGCTTATGCACTCAGATTCTCTTTCAGCCTGCCCCTGGTACAGCCACACCTCTACCATCTATCCAGCCTCTCTAATGTTACCCACTTTCAGTATCTCGGCTCCTAAAAACTAAAATGTCGCCCATGTGCAGAGTTGTGACTAAAGACTCCCGGCAGTCATCTCTGCCTGTCCCCGTCACCATTCGTCCGTCGCCATAGGCCTTTTGGGGTATAGGGGTTTTGATGATGATGAGAAGTATTATAAGCTCGATTATGGCTGCGCATGAGCGCTGTTCTTCTTTCTTTTATCCTCTTCACCACTGATCAGCTCGTTAGCCGCTTGGGCGATTGGTTACATCTCTATTACGCACTGTTGGCAAGTATTAGTCATACACCGGCTCCTGAATGTATCTGAACCTGCTCCAGTGTTTGTCAAGTCTGGTCATGAAAGAGCTCACACTCGGTGCCGTCACTACACACTCTGGCAGATTGTTCCAAGAGTTCACAACTCTCACTCCGAAAGAGATACCCCACACAGTCTTTTGGGCTTACGGCTTCTTCATTATTGAGCTGTGACCCCTTGTGGGGCGAGCGTCCGCCAGTTCTAGGTAAGGACACTCGACTGAATAGCGCCCTTTGAAATGCTTATACACCTCAATTAGGTCCCCCCTTGCCCGTCCTGTAGTATAAGCTAGGCAAATTCAGGCGCTTGATTTATGTGGTGAGGCAGGAGCGCAGGCTGCAACCACACATCTTGGCTCTCCCTTTTCCTGATCCAATGGTGCAAGTGTTGCAACGACAGGGGAGAGGGAGAGTTGCAATGGACTTTACACACACACACACACACACACACACACTAACTACTACTACTTTGCTGTCACTTGGAATCGAGTATGACGATCATCCAGCTATGATACAATGATATGCATTATTAGGGATGTCACCTTCATTGGTGAGTTTTGGGGTGACTAAAGAGGCCGATATGGGAACGGCAGAGTTGTTCACAGATGTTGCACTTGTGGAGGGCTAGATCGAGTGCGGGAAGGGGCGGTGGTAGCGTCTTTCCGGCGTTGGCGCTTGTCTGCCTCGGTTTACAATCGGGCCAACTCGAAAGTGCGCGTGTGGTGCTCCTCCAAGCATTACGATGCGGGGTAATCGTGTCCCATGTGGGGGGGTCGATTTGGCACTTTTTCAGGTTTGTTTTAAGACTATCCTTATACTTTTTCAGTTGCCCTTCGGCGTTACAAATAATATACAAGTAACATAAGTGATACAAATAAGATATATAATAACTAGATGGGGAAAAGCTCAAACTTCAGTGCATTTCAACATAGTGACAGTGCAAGAAGTAGTATTTACTGGGAGTGAATACACTGGTTTATTACAAGTTATTGATAATTTTTACAATGGTTGGGACTGGGCTGTTCTTATAGCGATCAGTTCGTGCACGTATGGGCTGGATGCGGTTGTGGTGTCGAACAGCAATTCTCGGGCTAGGGATCTCAGGTGGTAGTAGGAGCCGCTGTCGAGGATGGTGCAGAAGCTTCTTACCAAATTTGCAGATGAGGTCGTGGTGATGGTCAGTGAGAGTCGAAAGGGTCAGTGTGTTGAGCTCTTCTTGATACGTGGAGTAGGAAGGGGAGAGAATAATCTTGCATGCCCTCTTTTGCACATTTTCTAGGTGTTTACGTTGTGTGGCATTTAGGGAGGAAGACCAGGTAGGGGAGGCATAGGTGAGCTTGGGAAGTATGAATGTTGAGTAAATACTGAGGAGCTCGGGTGCAGGAACTCCGAGGGACTTGAGTCGGCGGAGGAGGTGGAGACGGAAACTGGAGGATTTGACTACTTCACTGACGTGTGGTTTCCAATTTAGTTTGTTGTCTATGGTGACGCCGAGGAGCTTCGTGGAATCTACAACCTGGAGTGTGTTCGGACTTAAAGTAATGGAAGGAGGTAGGACAATGTAGGAGGAAAGGTTGATGTGCATAACCATGGTCTTGGTATGGTTTATGGCGACATGGTTGTTGGTGGCCCAGTTTTGGAGACTGTTGAATAAATCCTGAAGGGCGGTATAGTCGGGAGCAGAATTGTTGACGCTGATCTCAATGGTGGAGTCGTCGACATATTTCCAGCGAGCAGGGGTTTCTCTTAGGGCATCATTGATGAGCATAAGGAAGCAGAGTGGTCCCATCTTGGTGCCTTGGGGGACGCCACAGGTGAGTGACTGAAAGGTGGAGACAGCCCCTCGGAAGCGTACAGCTTGGCGTCGGTCACTGAGGAAGTCTGTAAGCCATGGTATAAGACTTCTCCGAAGCCCGAGGTCAATAGCTTTGTTGATGATTATATTGTGGTCGACTAGGTCGAATGCTTTAGTGAAATCAATGAAGGCGACAGCTACAGACGTTTTTCGTTTCTCGAGATGGTGGTATATGTAATCGAGAAAGCTGACAAGACAGTGAGTGGTGGAGGAAGTTTTCATATTGCCAAATTGCTGAGGGTCTACGACTCCTGCAATATCAGCATAAGCCCAGTCCAACACAAAACTTTCACAGATTAGGCTGGGTATTGGGGTGATTACAATAGGTCGTAGCTGATTTAAGGATTGTGGGCTGGTTGACTTGGACACTGGTGATACATAAGAGGTCTTCCAGTCATCTGGGCATCTGGCTTGACTGAGAGAAGCATTGATGATGGAGCATAGGGGTTTAGCAAGCTCCGGGGAGAACTCCTTGAAGAGTTTCATTGGTAAGTCAATGGGGGTGGTAGAGCGTTTTAATTTTAGTTTGTCCAGGCGTTTTGCTACTTCAAATTCTTCGACTAAGTCAGTGGGAAGGGGGGCTGGTAGGTAAGCAGGGAGAGTGGTTGTGTCAAGCCGGGGGAGCGAAATGGTTATTTGATTGCTCAGCTGCGTCAACATTAGTGAGATGGCTAAGGAAGGGGAGGGGGTGTGTCTTATTGTTTAGTCCAACAGAAAGTCTTGGTGAAAATCAAATAATGTAGAGGCTTTCATGCTATCAATCCTAATTATTTTCATCATCGGAATCAATAATGTGGCCCATGATCAATACCTATGCATAAAAGAAGACCACGCAGTGTACATTATATGTTGAAATGCACTGTAGTTTGAGCTTTTCCCCATCTAGTTATTATATATCTTATTTATATCACTTATGTTACTTGTATATTATTTGTAATTCGAAACCCATTCCCCAAATATGTAACTGTATATTTTCAGCCTTCTGGCTGCCAAGTTCTTTCAATAAACCGTTAATTATTATTATTATTATTATTATTATTATTATTATTATATTACAGCATTCAAAGTGCCCGCTCCGCTCATCTCCCTATGTGGCACATCGTCCGAGGTGCGCTGCGCAGCCGACCTGCTACCACGTGTTATCCTCCCACGTTCTCCCATGTGCATATTTGATCTCTATCTTGATATCCCAATATAGAGACTTCCAATTGCTCGCCTTGGTACTATAATGGATAGTTTATAAACGATATTTTAAAAGTAAAGGAAGATTATGATATCATAGTGGGCGTGGCGGAGGACGTGCATGCGTATGTACGTGCGTTTGAGGAGTGGAGTGAGCGGTGGTGAGGGTCGGCAGCGTCAGTATCCCCGTACGAGAGGTACTTTGAATACCATCGCTTGTTTCACGTCTGAACAGCTTATCCTAGCGCAATGGAAAGTGAACAAGGCGGTGACAAGAGACAAGTGAGAGTATGGGGCGATGGCTGGTAAGTGCAGTAGCCGCCCTTCAGTCTTCTTGCAGACGAAAATGTTGAGGGTTGGCGATGATCCATGATTTTTTACCACAGGGTGTGACGTGTGTCTTATATGTCTCTATAAGAACATTACCTGTTCCGTTAGTTCCGATAAATCATGCTACCCTCGCTATCTTAGATTACGTGTGGTAGCCGCAATCTAAAGTTATTTGTTATCACTTGAGTGTGCTGCAGACGACACACGACTCCACACAATTTGTTCGATCGTGTGTGTGTCGGCTCCGGCTTGAGTCACGACCGGAGGGGAACTGGCGAATATTTATCAATTGGTAATTAAAATATCTCCATACACTATTGTAGTTCTCATCTTTTAAATTTAAATTATTCTAAGCAGAATAAATAGTAAATTCAGAGTGCTTTGATGTGTAGAAATAAAAGACAGGTGTGAGTGTGACATGACGAAGATCAATGTGGTCACTGAAGCAGCTGATCTCTCACTTGACAAGGACGTTATGCATCACGATTTCATCTTGAGTCTCTAGACATTATTCTGTCCACTTTTAGTTTAGTTTAACAAATTTTTTGACAAAGCTTGGAGTACAGTTTGCTTATAAAGAGTAATTCAGTCAGGTCTTGACACTGAGGGTGGTATCACTTCTCACTGCCACGCAGGACAGAGGTTCATCCACAAAGAAATGCATCATATTCATTAACAGCTATACATATAGAGGTCAGATTCATGTGGGTAATGTCACTGTTCACTGCCATGCAGGACAGAGGTTCGTACACAAAGAAATACATCATATTCATTAGCAGTATATACAGTATAGGTCAGAGTCGTGTGGGTGATGTCACTGTTCGCTGCCATGCAAGACAGTGGTTCATATACATTGGACGTCATATTCTAATTGAAGACTAATCAGTGTGGGCTAGCAAATTTGGGATAAACAGCAAGAATGTCCTCAAGCACCCCCAATTCAATGTAGTAATTACAAAGTTCATGATACAATAAGCCAGGTGGCCTGAAGTCTTTGACAGTGTCACATTCAATAATATCGTGTTCAAGTGTATGCTTTAAAGGTTTAAAATAAAGATTACATGCTGAGTGTTCCGGTATGGGTACAGCGTTACTAACTTTCCAGATGTGTCTGTATCCTAGCCTAATTCTGACCACGACTACATCACATTGTCTGGTTCTGTCCTTATGCTGGCCATACCGGTACCTCTTGTCACAAAATTTGTCATATTTACAAATGTTACAACTGCCAGGTCTCTGCATTTCTCAGTTCTTCTATATCAGAGTTCATGATTCTGACTTGAATGTTTTTAAGTACAGCATTGGACAGGCCAAGGTCACGGTCAACATTTTCTTTCTTACATGCCTCATTGGCCAGTCTATCACTGCTGCGAACACAACTTATGGTGTCTTGCACTCTTACTCAGTCTATATAAAAAAAAAAATATTGGACAGGACAAATGTACAGTATTAGTAGAGGACAGTACTGTACAGGTATAAGGGGGGTAGGGAAAATACTGTCCGACTAATTACCCAAATGTAGCCGCAATGATGTCAAATAATGGTCCTACATGAATAAATCGGACTGCTAATCACTTCTCGACTAGTATTTGATGTCACAAAGTCACAAAAAAGTGGAAAACTTACTTTAATCCGAGTTAATAGATCGCATGCATGTACCGAGGGAGCGAGTAATTACCCAAATGTAGCCGCAATGAAGTCAAATGATGGTCGTACAAGCGTAAATCGGGCTGTGAATCACTTCTCGATTATTAATTGGTGTCATAAAGTCACAAAAAATTGGTAAACTTAATTTAATCTGAGTTGTGTTAGGTTAGGTTAGGTTAGGTAAGGTACATGCACTTGATCTATTAACTCAGATTAAATTAAGTTTACCAATTTTTTGTGACTTTGTGACTCCAAATACTAGTCGAGGTTAGGTTAGGTACATGCACTCGATCTATTAACTCAAATTAAATTACGTTTTCCAATTTTTTTTTACTTTGTGACACCAAATACTAGTCGAGAAGTGATTAGTAACCCGATTTATTCATGTAGGACCATTATTTGACTTAATGCGGCTACATTTGGGTGCATTTGGGTAATTAATCGGACCCGGGAAAATATGAACAACTGTAACGGTAAAGGAGTAAGTAAGATTATGTTGTTTCTAGAGGGTAAGTTTTAAGAACGGCTCCTTTAACCTAGTAGTTTTTGCAATTTCAATTTTAGAACTCTTGTTACTTGAATATATTAGACAATGATTAATGGAATTGGTGTTGGAATAGTGGGAAAAAATTCCTTCAGAGTTAGAGAGAACTGTAGGGAGACGATCACTACCCTCTAACTACCTTCCAGTCAGTTTAACATCAATTGTAGGCAAATTGCTGGAAGCAATAATAGCTAAAAAGTTGAGGACTTCACACCTGCTTCCCCCTGTCGCAATGTAAGTTCTCCCACGGAAGGTTAGAGTTAGGTTAGGTTAGGTTAATTCAAGGTTAGGTTTGGTTAGGTAAGGTTAACATGAACTTTTAAATAAAAACTTTTTAGCACATTTGCCATAACTACGGCAATGTCTACTGTAAAACACATTAAGATTGCCGCATTTATTTTTTTTTCTGAAAAATCAGTGACTGAAGTCGTAAATAATCCCTTCAATAATTTCAAACTGTTTAAAATCATCTCAAGTTGAAAAATAATTCCCAACATTGCTTCACAAGTTTGTATTCATGTCTGAAAACCTATTAACATTCTATTCAACTATTTTAGAATCGGTGGATGACGGATACGATTATGATGCGGTATATCTCGCCTTTAACAAAGTCTTCAACAGAGTCCCCCACCAAAGTATATATCAGGTGCCTTCAAGAGAGCTTAGGCTCTCAACATTTACTTTTATCTTTTTCTTTTATCCTCTTCACCACTGATCGGCTCATTAGCCGCTTGGGCGATTGGTCACGTCTCTGTTACTCACTGTTGGCAAGTACAGTACTAGTCTTGTACAGGTACTGGCTTTCTGTTACACACTATTGGCAGGTACTGGGCATGCACCGGCTCCTGAATGTACCTGAACCTGCTCCAGTGTTGGTCAAGTCTGGTCTTGAAAGAGCTCACACTCGGTGCCGTCACAACACTTCCTGTAGATTGTTCCTAGAGTTCACAACTCTCACGCCGAAAAAGTTTGCCCTCACAGTTTTCTGGATCTGCGGCTTCTTCAATCTTGAGCTGTGACCCCTTGTGGGGCGAGTGTCCACCAGCTCCAAGTAAGGACACTCGACTGAGTAGTGCCCCTTGAGATGCTTATACTGTACACCTCAATTAGGTCGCAAAACTACTGGAAGATCTAATTTTTCGGATGGTCTGAAAAATGGCAGATGAAATTTAATGAGGACAAATGCAAAGTACTTAGTCAAGGAGATGTAAACTTAGAAACCAGATATCAGATGAACAATTTGTTATCGAGAAATCCAACAATAAGAAAGATTTAGGAGTAATGATAAGTTGGAATTTTAAACCAAGACAACAATAGGTTTTTGCTCGAAACAAGATTAAAAAAGTACTTGGGTTCATACAAAGGAGTGTTAGTTACAAGACTAGCGAGGTCATCCTAAAACTATACACGTATCTTGAGCTTGTGAGACCTCACTGGATTATGCTGTTCAGTTCTGGTCACTACTACAAAATGGATATAGAATCCCTAGAAAGAAATTAGAGGAGGATGACAAGACTAATCCCGGGCATTAGGAACCTTGAGTACAGAGACAGATTAAAGCATCTTAATTTGCACTCCCTCGAGAGACGTAGAGTGAGGGGCGATATGATCAAGGTGTATAAATGGAAGTCAGGGCTAAACAAAGGTGATATAACAAGGGTACTCAAATTATCCAACCAGGAGCGAACTTGTAGCAATGGTTTTAAATTAAACAAATTCAGACTTAGGTGCAAAATAGGTAAACATTGGTATGGAAATAGAATAGTGGATGAGTGGAACAAGTTACCAAACATCATCAGTGACTCAAATACACTGGATAGCTTCAAATATAGGTTGGATGCATATAGGAGCAATAGGGGTTGGGTGTAAATGGGGCTGCCTAGTATGGGCCAATAGGCCTGCTGCAATTTCCTTTATTAAGTTCTTAGGTAGCATATGCCCTTTCGGTGGTTTGGGCTAATATACGACTGGTGACCCTCAGCGGTTCGGTAACTATGCAGGGTGTTTTTAAACACAGTTTTATACTGTACACTGATTACTTTCTTCTATTGATTTTCTTGTGTAAATGCTTAGTTTTCTAGATATGGTGAATTAAGATACTGTATAGGTTAGGTCTGGTTACGTTAGCAAATGATTTCAGTTATGTTTATATTTTTCCTAACATAATACATTTTCCCCTAATAAAATACCCGGTAAGTTAAAACTGGGTATATTTAATCCCATTTTCAATGAAAAACAGTGGATGGCCATTATCCAAATAATTACCGTGGGTTGAATTGACTAGATTCATTAGACCATCAGTGACCTACTGATACATTAGATTTTAGTAAGAACCTAATTGGGAAGCTCTCAAACTCTGTTGAAAATTTTCCACAAGACCACTGTTTCAGAGATAATCCCTCAAATCAAGTTTCTTCAAATGTTCATAACTAAAGCATCATCAGATGCGCAGTTTTCTGGGTTACACAGTACAGTACTGTACTCTCACTGTCATTAAGGTATCAGTGAAGAACAGATTTCATAGATATTTTAATGACAACAATCCAATACTGGCAACATTTCTTGATCCAAGATACAAGGATACACTCTAAGGAAACAAAAGATTTTGAAATGATTTTCACTTTCTGAAAAGGAGATCCAAGGGTCTTACTGCACACCCAAGTCCTGAGAAGATGTATACGTATTTTACATTCGGAATAAAATCAAGGATTCTGTTGAATCAGCCCATCTTATACATATATGTACTTAGCCATCATTAAGCTTGCTTATTAATTTTAAATAATT